GAAACACGTGTATCCGGCTGCACAAGAGCCCATTAACAGACCACAAGACAAGCTGGCTCAGATAACAGTTATAAGATATATTGAGACAAATTGATTGTTCTATTTTCAGACAATTTTGCGACTCTATTACGCTTTGGCGCTGCTTCATGCGACTGCGCACTGCTGTGTTCAGGTGGAATTCTCATAATCAATTGAGTAAATATGAAAATTCATAATGTTTCACCTCATATCGTACGACTCAAAGGAAAGAAAAGGAGTGAGGTTGACTCGATTTTTGAGGCAGTATCCCTGGTAGTTCTTTGAAGAAAAAGAGAATAAGAAAACTGTCAATAAAGGAAAGGAGCCGATGACTGCACGATTTTGTAGACTTGTCGATGACGTATAAACAATACTGTTTACGCAACTTATAATATGGGTTGTACCCTTATTTGCTGCTGTTTGGAGGTTCTTGATGCTTACGCTTACGGTATACGTGGTTCAGAAACCTCTCAGACTATCTAGAAGCTACTGGTTTTTTTTTCCAGATATACGAAATTGGTAGCTCATTCGTGAGCAAACCTTGTGATTTCTTCTCGCCTCTCTACATCTATGTTCCTCTCCTTATCAGCACTATTTTCCCATGCTATGGCATGGTGAGTTGTTGAACTAACATAAGATTTACCATGTATGATCAGATGAAATTCTTTTTATTCGACCATTTTTAGCGGTGTTATGATTGCACAAATATATTCACTGATATTGAGCGAAGTGTAAAATACCAACGCCGGTTCTGCAATCACTCAAAAACTTTAATAGTCAAAATTTTTGAAAATGTTTTGTTGTGAGGATGAAAAGGAAAGAGCTGATTGTTGACCTAGCACTTTGCTTTTTGATATTGAGAATAATGTCTTACAAACAACCACACTAAGCTACTTAACGAAACACTTATGTAACGTCTGAAATAGCTCTAAATGGCAGTAGTCCACGTTAACTACTTTCTTTTTTCGTCCACTTGCAAAAGTCAACTGCTGTCGCGATTTTATTGTGTAATTTTGGTTGCGATCGATAGATGTGTCATGTCTCCCTTTCTTGACACTTGGAACATGATCATGGAGTAGTTCTGAAGCATCTAAAACCTTCACCTTCAGAGGTTATGACAATCTTGGTACCATAGTTATGTCTTCAACTTTGCAGGAACGACCAACAGTAGTGCTGAACTAGAAATGTAGTCAGATCAATACAACTACAATTTTACTTACAACGATTGGAAGTGGGAAGATATGGAAAAGGTTTAGATCCTCAGCCTGGCGGCGCTGTCCTGCGAACGGACTGTGGCGACGGTTCGCTCCAAGAAATACGAGAGCGACGGAATCGCCCTGAGTCTGCTTCTCGTTTTGCTTACGGCAAGTCAAAGAATTTCTTAGTATCCATACGAAAACGCCAATCTATATAAGACTACTTCGAGGAATATAAAGAGACAAATGTTCACGCTAAGGCCATCTTCAAACAATCCATTCATGAAAATCATTGATATCGATTTATTGATTGACAATTGTAACACAGATTATTGGCGCTGTTCTGGAGCTACGCTATGCGTTTGAGATGCGTGATTTCGGAAAAAGAGTCTGGTCGGCGATTTTCATACCTCCGGACGCTGTGAAAAGGTTCAATCAAGTCGCCATGCTTAACATCACCATTAGCTTCGTCTGTATGGTCACATTTTATGCCTTGTCTCGATTCAACAGAAAGCAATGCGCAACGTGAGCTTTTAACTTTTGGACGGTAGCAGCTTTTTATCTGATGTTTATATAATTTGCTACCACATGATGATTTTGAAGGTAGTCATGCAAGCACTTTCTGCTAATGTTTTTCGTATCTTGTTGATATACCATATGAAGAAACGGCCTTTGCTTGCCGTTTGCCTTTATGTTGCCCAATCACTGAGCTGGGATTTATTCGATTGATATAATGATTTTTTTTGCTGCTAGCAGCTTGTGACGATTGAAGTCTCGCATAGAGATTAATATTATAGAGATTATAATACAACCTCACACTTAGGTAATTAATCCTCTATCTAAATAACAATATTATTGACACCGACAAACAGTAACAACAATAACGGCCAAGAGGGTAATATGTGACATAAACGAGTGATATGCCTGATAATCATTATTTGAGCCACGCATGTCAGTGGTCTGTTAATGAGGGCTGACTTATAGAGCCCGATACACGTGTTTCGATCTTGCGATCTCGTCAGTCGGGCAGTTACCCGTTCTCGTCTTTTGCTAATCTCTGTGGGTGCTCCAGTCCCCACAATAAGAGTTAGCGACGACGTATGTTTTACACTCTGTGTTCAGTGAAGAACTCACCAAACACAGAGTTTTTTACACTCGAATGCTCGTGGCTAGTATATTTAATATAACATATCCTTCATTTCGAGTGTTTTCTTAAGACCACAGCTCAAATTACAATATGCCTGATAATCATTATTTGAGCCACGCATGTCAGTGGTCTGTTAATGAGGGCTGACTTATAGAGCCCGATACACGTGTTTCGATCTTGCGATCTCGTCAGTCGGGCAGTTACCCGTTCTCGTCTTTTGCTAATCTCTGTGGGGCTCCAGTCCCCACAATAAGAGCAAAAGACGAGAACGGGTAACTGCCCGACTGACGAGATCGCAAGATCGAAAACACGTGTATCGGGCTCTATAAGTCAGCCCCTCATTAACAGACCACTGACATGCGTGGTTAAATAATGATTATCAGGCATATTGTAATTTGAGCTGTGGTCTTAAGAAAACACTCGAAATGAAGGATATGTTATATTAAATATACTAGCCACGAGCATTCGAGTGTAAAAAACTCTGTGTTTGGTGAGTTCTTCACTGAACACAGAGTGTAAAACATACGTCGTCGCTAACTCTTATTGTGGGGACTGGAGCACCCACAGAGATTAGCAAAAGACGAGAACGGGTAACTGCCCGACTGACGAGATCGCAAGATCGAAACACGTGTATCGGGCTCTATAAGTCAGCCCTCATTAACAGACCACTGACATGCGTGGCTCAAATAATGATTATCAGGCATATCACTCGTTTATGTCACATATTACCCTCTTGGCCGTTATTGTTGTTACTGTTTGTGGTGTCAATAATATTGTTATTTAGATAGAGGATTAATTACCTAAGTGTGAGGTTGTATTATAATCTCTATAATATTAATCTCTATGCGAGACTTCAATCGTCACAAGCTGCTAGCAGCAAAAAAAATCATTATATCAATCGGATAAATCCCAGCTCAGTGATTGGGCAACATAAAGGCAAACGGCAAGCAAAGGCCGTTTCTTCATATGGTATATCAACAAGATACGAAAAACATTAGCAGAAAGTGCTTGCATGACTACCTTCAAAATCATCATGTGGTAGCAAATTATATAAACATCAGATAAAAAGCTGCTACCGTCCAATTAAAGCTCACGTTGCGCATTGCTTTCTGTTGAATCGAGACAAGGCATAAAATGTGACCATACAGACGAAGCTAATGGTGATGTTAAGCATGGCGACTTGATTGAATCTTTTCACAGCGTCCGGAGGTATGAAAATCGCCGACCAGACTCTTTTTCCGAAATCACGCATCTCAAACGCATAGCGTAGCTCCAGAACAGCGCCAATAATCTGTGTTAAAATTGTCAATCAATAAATCGATATCAATGATTTTCTTAATGGATTGTTTGAAGATGGCCTTAGCGTGAACATTTGTCTCTTTATATTCCTCGAAGTAGTCTTATATAGATTGGCGTTTTCGTATGGATACTAAGAAATTCTTTGACTTGCCGTAAGCAAAACGAGAAGCAGACTCAGGGCGATTCCGTCGCTCTCGTATTTCTTGGAGCGAACCGTCGCCACAGTCCGTTCGCAGGACAGCGCCGCCAGGCTGAGGATCTAAACCTTTTCCATATCTTCCCACTTCCAATCGTTGTAAGTAAAATTGTAGTTGTATTGATCTGACTACATTTCTAGTTCAGCACTACTGTTGGTCGTTCCTGCAAAGTTGAAGACATAAACTATGGTACCAAGATTGTCATAACCTCTGAAGGTGAAGGTTTTAGATGCTTTAGAACTACTCCATGATCATGTTCCAAGTGTCAAGAAAGAGAGACATGACACATCTATCGATCGCAACCAAAATTACACCATAAAATCGCGACAGCAGTTGACTTTTGCAAGTGGACGAAAAAAGAAAGTATCAACGTGGACTACTGCCATTTAGAGCTATTTCAGACGTCATATAAGTGTTTCGTTAAGTAGCTTAGTGTGATTCTTTTGAAAGACATTATTCTCATTATCAAAAAGCAAAGTGCTAGGTCAACAATCAGCTCTTTCCTTTTCATCCTCACAACAAAACATTTTCAAAAAATTTTGATTATTAAAGTTTTTGGAGTGATTGCAGAACCGGCGTTGGTATTTTACACTTCGCTCAATATCAGTGAATATATTTGTGCAATCATAAGACCGTAAAAATGGTCGAATAAAAAGAATTTCATCTGATCATACATGGTAAATCTTATGTTAGTTCAAAAGTTACTGAGTCTCTTCAAAGTCGAAAAAATTTCGATAGGCAGTAATGGTCATTATTGTCGTTTTTTGAAGTCAAAATTACACATGAAATTACTATAAATGGCAAATCGAGGAGGCTCTATGACTTTTATGAGATGATGAAGGTAAGCTTCAGAAAATGAGGTTCCCAATGTGCAGCTGCAGAAATTCACAAGCCGCTGTTCTAGAAAGATAGCGAAATTTCGTCCAGTAGAGAAGGGTAGTGTTCCTGAATTATGAACAATGTGAGCACAAGGCGATCTTGCGTCAAAAATTTCGAGGAATAGATTTTTTTTAGTGCCTCGAAAATTCAGCTCAAACATATATACGGCCGCCATTGATTTTACGGTGCTCGAACATATGCAAAAATCATCGATCCTACGGTGTTCGCAAATATACCTTAGAACTGAGTGGTGAGCAAAAATACGGCCTCGGACGGGAGTCGAACCCGCGTTTCATCCATACTGGGGACGTGCGCTACAAGTGCACCACCAGAGCTTATATACGCCACCATCATTCCTGTAACATAGTAACACTGCGAAAAAAGCAGTGAAAATATTGGAATGTGGTGTTCACAAAATAGCTAGAACTTGTCCGCTATTCAAACACGGCAGTACTTGTTTTCAGGCAATGAACGATAGATCTGCTATAGCCAAAGCATTCATAAGTTGAGAACAATATAGATTTGAAGATGAAACATTATAACAGCCATGATATTGAGCCATGCTCAGTGATAGAAGTGATCGTGGACATCACAAACAGTGTTATTATCTTGTTGTTGTCGCTGTAAACTAATATACCAAAGCCATTGTCAGGACATGGAGGTGTTTTATAGCTACAAAGTTGCGGAGGTACTAACAAAACTCAGTGCATGAAAAGCATTAAACCCACAGTTACCATGTTTTAGTGCTCACATATTGTCCACCACGCGATCAGGAACATTTCTTTACCATTCTCTCGGTTCTCTCGGCTATTTTTTTTCGCAGAGGCAGAACAAGTGTCGCAGTAGCGCAGCGGGTAGCACATTAACTTAGGGAAAGGAAAATTATGAGTTTGAAGTTCACCTCAGATTTTAAATCACATTAGTGTTTCAGCACTCTTCTATGGCATTTTATGTCTCACCTCACTACCTAGTAACAACCGAAAACAAAGGAGCCACAGACATTCTCTCACAGTACGTATCGAGCCTGTCATGTCATGTTGTGTAGTCGACTTCTTCATGTAATCATATTCTACCATTAAACCAGTGAAATTAAAGCAAGAATGATTTTGACTGCCACTATTACCACCCATTGTCACGATAATTATTGAGCAAATCGAGCCAAATTCCATTCTCTTGAGAGTGGCCCAGTCGGCTCTTCTTTCTTTGGAAATTGACGTCTGATGTCGCAAGGAATCACGAAAGTAGAGGCTTTCATTAATCTATTGTCGTAGAAGCACATCACATGCTTGAAGGATGTGAATTCGATAAAGAGGTGTGCATAGCGGAGTCTTTCAGTTAGATCGTCCACACAGGTTGAAACTTTAGACGTTTCTTCCACCTACGAAGTTAGCAGTTATGCGTTCAGTAATGCTCACTGTCCTCTCTCTTGATTGGGTAGTGCTTAGGCTTTTTCTTCACATGTTAAGGTAGAGAGGAGACCTGATTCGAAAAACGGGCGTACAGATGGGGCGCAAGTGTTCCGCATTTTGTTTATTACACCTTCACAGTTCACAACAATTCCTTAGCCATTCACTTTCTCGTGCTTGACTTTTACGCTAACACGCTTATCACACTGATTTCCTCACTCATATAAATGTTAGTCATAGCTTTCGAAATTTCGAGATGTTCACCTCCATCACGGTGAGTGGAGCATATCAAAGCAATCCGTTTTAGAGGGAACATCGCTTTGGGAGGTGCCATCAAAGCCAATCATTCCACAATAATGAACTCAACAACATTCGTTCTCACTCATTGATGCTCTGCTTCTGAAAATGGTTGCATCAGCAAAGCGAAGACGGTGTAATTTCGGTCGTCGATTTTCTCCTATATTGTTAAGTTCAATGTCCAGAGCTTCTGCAAGTAATGATGCTCCAACTAAGTCAGTAGCATTTCTGATCAATGGGGATTAGAGAGCATTCCTCTTGCACTTGCATAACACCTCAATGAGATCATCTAATGACGGGCCCCGCACGTTCATTGCTATTAGTGGGCTTCAAAATTTGTGAGTGGTCATTTTAGTCATCACAATCTCAGGCAGCCTCTCACCGCTCAATATTAGTAATGTCAATGATGGTGGTCTTCCCTGTACTTCCCTATAAAGTATCGCCCTTCAACGCATGATTCAACTCTGTGCTAGTTGACATTGACTACAGTAGGATGGATTGACCGCTGAAAATAAAATATTGTCAAGTGGCAGCCAGTGTCACTAATAACCGTTCTGTTTGTGAGGCTGCCAAGAGTGAGATCGCTGCTCAACCGAAAAATGGTGTGACTTGAATGACAACGGAGACGAGGTCCGCAAATAGGACGAACGACTGTGAAAAATCGACTTGATCATCGGCTGTGATGAAGACGAAAAGGTCGAAAGTTGGCCGGACGAATTTTCAGGCTAACTTTCCGGTGTCGACCAAATTATGAAGAAGTGTTATTGAGTTCAGAACCTCAGCACGAAATACCACTACAACTAAACAGCAGGAAACAATAGTTTTGAAGCTAGCAGTGGTATAAAGGATCTAGTAGAGAGGATAAAGAGGACAAAGGGCACTTAGTTATATTTGCCACTCTTTGATTTGGATATTCTACCCGCTTGAACACAGGGTAACAGGTATCGTGCAGCTTTAGCAGGAAAAGAGGCTACCCACCCATATCAAACACGTCATTATCGTTATGCGAAGAATATCACAAATCATACAGTCTTTCAAAAGTCCGATTTTCTCTAAACCTTGGCATGAGTAAACAAATGTAAAATCTGTTGTGAACTGCTCTTTTCTTTAATTTAGAAACACTTGAAAATTAAAGCATGATAATACTAGTGCAAGTTTTAATTAAAGAGAAGGAAATACAATTTTTAACATTTTTTCGTCACTGCACCCTGTTTCAATCTTTTGGCATCCTGAAATTTTAGTAATAATTCAATAGCTTAAATAACAAGTGTTCTCATGGTGTACTTGTTTCAAGAATTTCTTAATGCAGATTAGCAGTATAATTGGAAGTCGTGAGACTCACACTCGACGTACTTTTACTCGTATTTCCGTCATTTATTAAAGAGTTTTTTTTACTGCATTTTGTAGTGATTTCTGAGTTTCTTATTTTGTTATTGCAGAACAAACTTTGTTCTATCGTTTTGTGCTCTTCAGTTTTCTATTTCCATGTCTACTGCCTCATGAACACTCTAATAAGATATGAAATCTTGAGCTGTTACTTTTCTGTTGGCGTGATGGGAGCCAATTATTTACTTGAGAGTATCGTTGTTTCAAGACTTCATCTATGAATATCACTTTCATTCCATGATTCCATTTTGGCCACCGTTTTCAGTCGTTTCAAAAGCATCTACTTCACATTGCTAGTTATAACTACAAATCCAATTCGCATCACAACTCCAATCCATTTTTTCGAATGCATTAGTGATCTATTACGAGATATGTCACAGTTATAAGTTTACATATAAAGCCATTGCATATGTTTCTGTTTGATAGAAACATATGAAGCTAGAAATGGAACTCCGAGCTTTCAAAAATTTTCTCAGTTGTCGATTACTCAGTGGCGAGAAAAGTTGTTACAGTTTTTTCAGATATTTCACAGATGAAAAAAATATAGCATAATAAATACCCTATTCAATTGGAAGAATAATCAAGTTTATCAGACAATCAACTACGACAAAAATATTATACCCAGCTCTTAAAACTGCTGAGAATTATTTCTTGAGGCTGCATGTTATGTGGTCTGTAATGGGCACTTGTACAGCCCGATACATGCGTTTCGGCTTTGGCACCCTCTTCAGTCAGGCAAGCACTTCGTCTTCAGCCAGTCTCTCGGGGCTGTTCTATCCTCCCACATAGGAAAGGCGAGAAAGTACGATTTACACCTGCTGCCAAGTGAAATAAATAAGTTTATCGGCAGTGTTGCACATTCGATAGCTCCTGGCTGGTATTTTTGGAATATTATACCGTTCGTTTCGAGTGTTTTCTCAAAACCACGCTCGAATTTCAATAGATCCGATAATTATTATTTGAACCAGCATGGACAGGTGGCCTGTTAACACTGCCGATCCAGTGAGATATTTCGCTTGACGGCACGTGTATATCGTACATCACTGAGAAACTGGAGCACGCCCGAGAGGATTGAATAAAGGCGAAAAAAAGGGCTTGCACGACTGACGAAGCTGTCAAGGCCGTAACATGTGTATCGGGCCGTACAAATGCCCATAACAGTCCACATGACATGTTGGCTCAAATGATTATCATTGGGTATATTGTGATTTGAGCGTAGTCATAAGAAAACACTTAAAACGAACAGCATACTGTCTCAAAATTGCCTCCTTTGGCTTTCATACTTTCACGAATTCGCTTGCAAAAATTTCCAACAATGTTCGCACATGTTCCCACCGTGATTCTATTTCAAACATGTGCCATAGTCGTTTTAAGCTCGTCTATGGCAGTATAGCTAGTGCCCGAGACTTTTTCCTCGAGTATAGAGCACGGGAGTTAACATTGGTTGAGATCCGGCGAGTTTGACAGCCAAATGTCCTTGTCTCATGGCATAGTAACTGCTCTTGATATACGACAATCGTTGAGCGGGGCGAATACGCAAGAGCCCACTCCTGGAAAAGCGCAAATGTATCGGGCTAAAGTGTTGAGTACTACCAAGGCTCCAATACGCCCCCATAAAACTTGCTGCTGATAGCTGACAGCGTTAAATTCGACGTTTCTGTTTATTGAAGACCAGCGGTATCTTCTCGGCGGCGCAAATGTCGACCCAGAACATCATACAGACCGGAAAATAAAAGCGGTCCATGGTCGTTTGCTACTGCGGACTTCTGCTAGCTTTTCTTGAAAAGGTGACGCACATTCTGGCGACTGTAGAGCGATTCTATCGTAAATATCTCCTCATTCGTAAAAAGCACCTTTGCCAAAGGGGTCTCAGCTATCAAGCGAATCATTCGGCAAGCCTTTGAAAGCAGGTTTTTTCATCTTTTTGTCCAAAAGAAGAACTCAACCAATCCTGTAGCTGCGCAGCTTAAGCTTATTTTCGACAGTGTTTCGGCCGCTCCCCTTGCTGATCCCAAGCTTCTTTGCCACTTTGCCATCGACCGCTGTGGATTTCATAGAATGTGACAACGGATCTCCTGAATGTTTTCGGAAGCAGATAGAATGGTTAGACAACTTTCTCAAGGATGGTCTTCTATCCCTCCAGTCTCTTTGAAATGTTCCACTGCTCTGTAAAACTTGGTTCAAACAGTTATTTTAGCAAGGTCGGCCGCTTTCAATCCCGTACCGGGCAGCTCAACTACTGCGAT